GTTCTCTACAGGCATACAACAACTAGATCAACATGAGACTGTCAAAAATTTGATCTGGTTGTTGAAGAATGTAATATTATATACTTTAGCTCTACACTTTACGAAATGCTGAAATAGCTGAAAAATCATTAAATCTCCAGGAAGTAAATTGTAAGTAAATACTAAGTTGGGATCACATGTTGTGATGCTTTGGGTATTCTCCCACATGCCAGTTTTCATAAAATCCTTTACCTGGAAATGCACAACTTTGGGAGTATTATCATCAAAGTGAGACTATAATTGGACGGGGCGATATGGTATGGTATAGAGGGAGTTTATTGTTACATTAAGTTTATATTACAGTAGAATTTATACCGTATTAAGAAGCATTATAATCCACTATAAATCTTTATCGACCCAATGGTTTTGGGTAACGCAAATTGCCTGACACTTTCTTATCTACTGCTAGAGGTGGGTAACTGATTGCGATAGCAGTCTGTCTCTTCAAATAAAGGCAAATATGTGGCTAATAAAGTGGAGTGACCTAGACGAGGCTTAACTGTTACTGTACATACCGTCAGTAAGTTCATTTGTATTGCAAACCAAAAGCTTCAATTTTTTATTCGTTATTTTTAGTTTTTTACAGCAAAAATATATTTAAAAGCATTTTTACATCCATCATCGAAGGATAAGAGATCAAAAAGTTTGCAACGCCCTGAAGGAAGCTTTAGAGTCCCCACAAAGTATATACATCCTTGAGTAGATTCAAATTTTAAATTGTCCATCTGTATAATATCTGTTCTAAACATTCCCCTGGCTGCCAAAATAAAGGTATCCGTCCCAAATTCGGCAGAAACATTGGAAATTCTTACTCGTAGCCTGGATTTGAAAAAGGACTAAATTGGTGGAAGAACACAGCCAAACCGTATGTATAAAAATGGAAAAATTATCACGCCTACCCGATATTATAATGTATAAAAATTGAATTTTTTTTTTACATAAAAAAACAGCCGTGCCCTCTACATAATATGGAGCATGAAAATTTAGTTTTTTTAAATATTATGTCTTCTCTAGGATAACGGTGACGGGTATAAGACTCGGTTGCGTCTGAATATACTTTTGTTACTTGTTTCATATTATTTCTATAAATAAAAAAACCAATTCCAACCAATCGTCTGCGAAGTGTCTTTGAGATAAAAATAGAACCCCTCTGCGATTACTGCCGACTTAGCTAGCTTCTAAATAACACGTGCGTATATCCGTTTGCGGCATATGAATTCTCTGTGATATATATAGTTTTAATACACAAATCAGACAATTTCATACAAATACACAAAAATGGGACTCAACGTGCGGCCAAAATTCAGCAAAAGGTACGGCAATAGATCGTATGTATATATGTTGAATATACTGTAAAGGTTTTTATTTATTGAATTTGGTATCGCAGTACACTGCTGCGGTTTTGACCCTAATCTTCTCGGCTGCAGAACGCCAAGTCTATTCGTCTCATATGGTGCCAATAGAGCTCGGCAAGAGACGGCCCCTAATTTTATAGCTTGGGCGAGTTAAACGCCTTTTGACCATTAGCGAATGAAACGCTCCATTGGAATTGCTTTGAAACAATTAAATTCTTTATTTGCCAGATGCGTTATTTATACTAAAATCTATAGGTGATTTTATGCTCACGTTATCAATTATTTTAATTAGGGCGCCTGGCATCGTATTGCATTTCGTAATGCAATACCCAGCCAGTAAAAAAAGTAAAACAAAAATTTTGTCGCACTTCAAAGTGGATGCATACGACGGTATGCGATCACACTACAATACTTTACTATTTTCCTACTTTATGTAGGAATAACTTTCGGCTAATTTAATAGCAATAGATAATATCAGCATATTTAACGGTTCCTGTGCAAAATGCACGTGAACGTACAAGAGTAGATATACTTTATGACGACCGCGTATATACGTGTAGGGGCTTTTCATTGGTCGGCTTTATCCCCCGTCTTCACAAAAAGTGTAGCGTTATTCATACTAACGGAGTTCCATAAAGTAAGATCTCTTTTCTTGTTTCTTCGCTCCCACAGTAGTACTGTTTAGGGAGAGAATTATGAAGAGAGAAAAAAAATCCGAAGTCCGTTCGTATAGCTTATAGGTTTTGGCAATAAAATTAGCTTGAAGATGAGAAAGAAAAAGGAGATCAACGAGAGTAGTCAGAGTGTTCAGGGTGTTGCTTAATGTAAAATTGACAAAGTAATTATCAAAAATTAAAAAAAAAAATGTATGACAGAAAAGTTGACATTAGATCTCAACCCCAAGTGAAAACACGTTATTGGAAATAACAATTTAAGCCTAAGTAAAAACGTATTTTTAAAACCGGAAATTAACACTCAAATTCAACTAAGAAAATGTCTTACCAAAAGTAGTAATTAAAACTTAGTCCTACTAAGAATATATGCTAAAAATTTCTTACGTTAAGATTTAAACCTAATAAAAGTACATTATAGCTAAAATCAGTGAATTTCTAAAAAAACTGGGATATATATGCAAGAAGAAAAACCTTCAAATATTGGTGTCAGTAAAATGGTGCAAACTAAACAGAATGACGTTAACAAATTGGAATTCTTGACCAATTACACAACTCGTATATAAGAATTCTAATTTTCATACTTACCTGTGTAATGCAATTTTCAATGTGAAATGCAAGTATTCTATCTTTTCATCGCAGCTTAAAAGTATTATAATGTAACAAAGTAATAATTTCGAATACCACATTTTTTGTTCACACAATTATATGTTTCAATTGAAAAGCAAAATTGCTTCTGTCAGAAATATTTATCTAGGAATGACTTCATATTAAATTACCCAACTTTGCATCTGACAATTCTTATATCAGTTACAATCACAAGTTCTCATTTGTCAATTTTCGAATTTGCCCAACGAGTCACTTAACAAAAGTAAATGATATGTGAACCCGCGCCGCATTGAAACCGAACCTCTAAATGTACTTTAAGTAAGTTGTATATTATACATGAACTCGTTCAGAATTGAGTCCAGGGCCTTCTACAAAGCTTCAACGACTATACTAAGCCTATACTAGAGTAGAATAAAGCCTATACTAACTACGTCGCTATAACCGGTTCATTTATTGTATTTAAGACTGGCATGTATATTTTATTTCGTTCATGTGTAACATCCAAGGTATGCATAAGCAAAATTGAAGGTTCATTGATTCCAATGAAAATTAATCCAACAATTTTTTATATACATGTCAATAGATTCTCTAGGGAAAACTATTTACCATGCGAAGCCTCCAACATGGTGTGCGGTACGTAAACGCGCAGCCTCAGGAAACAAGACAATTTCATTTAATAGCCTTCTCAGATCAAGTGTCTGAGGGCGAGGTTGGGAGAGAATGAGCGCCTTGGTTAGTAGTCAAGTTGACTAAAAAGGTTATGTTTGTTTGCGAAAAACATTTTGCTAAAAATTACATAGGGCAGAGAAGGTTCCTTAAAGGTGCCCTCATTGTAGTTCAGGCGTGGGAAACATTCCCTTCAAGAAGGGATTTATATAAAAATTTAATTAATTTGGCCAAGGTAGAACTTAATATAGAAGAGGAGACAGAAACTGCAATGACGCTAATAACATTACGAAGTGCTTAAGAAGACCTAGTGACATAACTTTCAAACGTTTTGCTCAATTTAGTGACCAAGAAGAGAAAAGAAAAACGGTATGATTTTGAAGTAGTTAAACGTAGTGAGGTATGTAGGAAGAAAATTGAGGAAACTCATAAGGTTTATGTAATTAGCGAGACGGAATTACAAAAAGAAATCAAGGACGAAGTTAAGGGAAAGAATTAAGCAATTAGAATAATTTAAAATGAGCGTTTTAGGGACCCAAAAAAACTAAGCCAGCAGGTTATGCAGGTTACATTGTAGCGTGTTCTGAACTTCACCCATATATTCGGATATAGATAAGTCGTTAGTTGCAAATATAAACTATATTTCAGATAAATGTCATAAGTTTTTGATGGAAAATTTAAAATTTAGAGGTTCTGTAACGTCCGCGAACAAAATTCAGGGTGGGTATCTGTCGGTCTGCTGTTGCCAGAAATGTCGTAGTAATGGCATGCCGTTATACGACATCGCGTGATTTTTGCAAATAGCGGCTCGCCGCTATCCATGCAAAGAGAAAAAACAAAGAGGAAAAAGAAAGAAAAAGAATAATGCGTAAGATTCGGTGGTGGTGAACTTAGCTTTTTTTTGGTTGAGGAGAGTCTGATTTTGCCATTAGAAGTGTTCAGTTTGAGCGGAGCTTAAAAGGAGAAAAGAAAAAGAAAATAATACTGAACTAGTTGCAATTTTATGTTTTCTTGTGAAACTAAAGTGAACTATTTTATCCTATTCTCGTCATGTTTGCAAAAGTTTTTTAATAATTAATCAGAACTTATGGGGAATAAAGAATGGGGTGGTATCCTATAAAAAACAGTGCGCGTAGACGATTAGTTTTCTACTTTTTAAATTTTTTTTCGAAAAAATAGGAGAAAATAAAAAAGAAAAAAAAAAAAAAATGAGAATGCTACTAAATTTATCCAACTTTCAAAATATGATTAAACTGGGATCTTTTTCTTATTCGTGAAATGAAATGGTGCAGCAGAGCCATAAAAAAAAAACATTGAAAAACCCAGAAATATAAATGTTTGTAAATGAATCTGGAACATTCTTAAGCTAGTGATAGTGACGAAACAAATCAAGAAAAAAAAAATGAAACGCAGCCATCACTATAACTAACTGTATATTTATACCTAACTTATGGTCAGTTTAAAAAAAAAAGAAAAAAAGGCGTTTTGATTGTATAAAGAAAGACTTGTAAAAATTATTTTGATTGTGAATACAAGATCCTAAAGAAAAGAAAAAAAAAGGAAAACCTTACAAACAATATAACAATATAATACATTTTGTATTCCAAACATAACCCATTAATGGTCACTCAATAAAAATATTAG